CTGTCACCGGAGTCGCAGAAGGAGGTGGCCGTCTTAAGGCTGCTAGGGTGGACGGCGTCTTTCTTGGCTCTAAGTGGGTTGGGCGCCAGGTTCCAAAGGTTGTGAGGGGCGGCAGCGCGGAGTATCCCGGCTTTATCACAGTTGAAGAGCGAACAGCACCACCACATGTCACACCGCAGGGGGAAGAGGGGGCATCCCGAGCCACGCTGGAGGCGCAGAAGGAGGACGGAAAGCGGAGTTGCTGTATACACTCTTGGTGCACGAATCTCACGGAAATAACGAAGGCCTCAGACGCAAGTTGTTAAACATGGTGCTACGATCCCTTAGAGTTTTGGTCATCTGGCTCTAACTAACTCGCAGTTTACCTACTGCAAGTGACTAACTTACAAAACGCTTCAACTTTTGGCACAAGGAAGATATTAATGCATGTTGTCACTGGGTCAGTGTTGAGCACTAAGTCATGTAAGGGACGGTGTGACGTGTTGTACGTGAGGCTCGTTTTGTAAGTAGTGGGTGGTTGTCACACCATCACATCAATACACGTTTTTCTCGCGTGCTGAAATATCTCCATTGACAATTAAGTATTCTCGCAGCCTTCTGAAACTGAGGCGTGACGTTGTGGACATGTCACTGTGGAGCCAAACGCTATCACTTTGGTGACGTAGCTATCCCGCACTCAACTTTAATCTGGCTCTCAGCGCCCACAAATACTCGCTAGCTCTTTACTTATAAACAGCACTGATAATGTAAAAACTAAATACGTCTTCTTAATAGAATACCACACTATATATCCGCTCGTTTAAGGTTAGGAACGTACTAAAACGATAAATTTTGAGCAGTACTCCTCCGTCTCGTTAGCTTGGTTTGTTACTACTGTGTCTGCAGATCAGGAGCGCGCGGCTGGCCCCACTATGAGGTGCCGCATATCGCTATGACGTTCATTGGCGTCAAATACTCATGTACGTAAACTTGGTAATATTTCCAGTCTGTCTATTTATTAATTGAAAATAAACCTTCGGTAAATGATTTAAACTAACTTTGATAATTAAAAATTACACGAATGTACTTTAAATGACATAAAAATATAATTTTCTTGGTTTATATAGTGACAACCTTCTTGGAGCTGCGGCATGAATGGAGGACCCGCGGAATTGCGCCTGGCAGATGTACAACAATTCCAAAACAAAATTCTCTCAATTAAAAGTCAGCAAAAAATGACCAACATCTAAAAGACCACGATTTGTCTATAAAAAAATAGGACATCAAAATTCAAGTATAAATATCCGCCTAAAAATAGTTACAAGACTTACGAGAACTCGTTTTTCGTCATTCAGTAGGTGACTCATACATCCGCCACCCACACACAACAATGACGTCACTAGGCGCTGCCATCGCAATCAATGAGTCGACCCACACACACGCCATCCACCACTCAGAAACAAGGGTGAAAGGCAGTGATCGCAACGTACGGGTGTAAATGAAGGCTAGTGAGGCACCCAGTAAACAAAGTATGCCACGAGACAAAACATGAATGAAATGTTAAACAAGATATATGATGAACATCGTAAGATTTATCAGATGGATCACTGTATAAAACACAGAGGAAGTAAAACTAGATACGTTATAATTTTACTTGTGTTTACTGTATACCTGTTTATGTACAAAAATTTTCACTTTGTTGTTATATTTACAGCAGCAATGGCAGTCATGACTGCTAATGTACCACAAGTGTTACTTTTAATGCCTCTAATACTACTACTACTATTACTACTATTACTACTACTATTATTATTATTGATCACTAGTACAGTACTACAGTACAGTAATACTGTACTACCGCTGCTACTACTGCCACTAATACTATGTCTATTAATGTTCCTCCTGCACCTGCTACCATCAATACAGCTGTTTTTGATAGTGCTGCTTTTAAAATTTTTATATCTACAACAGCAACTACTATTCCTATTGCTACTACCACTGCGATTACTAGTTTAACCCACTAACAACAATGAGACCACTTAAAAATGTTAATTTAACTAGTTGAGAATGTTTAGCTCATTTTAGCCGAATAATTTAAACAAGTATATTAAGAAAGTAACAAGAACTTATTTGAGACCCTTAAGAACGTTCAATTTTTACGCAGAACAAAACTGAACCTATTGAGTCATTTTATTGAGTATTGAACCCCCTTTAGAACATTCATGCGGCACCCAGAACAAAACTAAACCCCCTGAGTATGTTTATTGAGAACATAACTAAACCTCTTAAAACGTTTAAATTGAACGCGGAGTCACGACAGTTTAAGTGAACCCTTAATAAGAATACTTAGTCATTAAAAATTAACTAAACCCTTTTAAGAATGTTCACTGAGTACAAAGTCATGAAAACTTAACTGAACCCCTTAAGGATATTTTGTTCCTGAAATCAGAGTCAGGAGAACTTTAATGAACTTTTTCTGAACGTAGAGAACGCTGAGAATTGAGTACCAAAAATATTGTTGATTTTTTTTCTGAAGTAACGAAAAAAAAAAAAAAAATAAAAAATCACATACAGATCTTGACTAAATAAGGAGTAAAGCAAAATACAGTAAAAGTTAATGAAAAATACCAAGGAAATGCACAGTGTAGGAATAAATAATATGGAATTTATATCATGTTGTATGACTGACAGATTAGGTTAGGTTAGGTTAAGTTAGGTTAGGTTAGGTTAGGTTAGGTTAGGTTAGGTTAGGTTAGTAATAACAGTAACGACAGCTACTACCACCATCCACAACAACAACCACTGCAGCCAAAACGATAACCACAACTGCCCATATCAATAAAAAATACAACCACCATCCATCACAACAACAACCATAACTACAACGACAAATACCACTATCTTCGACAGCAGTAACAACCACAACCACTATCTACAAAAACAAAAACCATAGCAGCAACTACGAACACCAACGACTGCAAAACAAATATAAAAAAAAGCAACAACTATCACCACCGCTACCACCTACAACAACAATCACAAATTAACAGCAAAAACATCAACCACAACAACCGTAAGAACTGCAGTAGGAACAAAATCATCCACTATCACAACCACAACATCAAGAGCAACCCTAACTACAAAAAACAGCAGCCATAACCACAACAACCAAAATAACCACCATCACAACCACAATGACGATTATAACAACCCCAACAAGACTGACAGACTAGCAGTACTGGCCCAACACACTGCGGATGTTCTAGCCTTTTAACCTTTGGCCAAGACCCCCCCCCCCCATCCTCCCCTCACCATCACCCTTTCCTCACCTCCTCTCCACTCCCATCTCCCACCTCTTCCCTCACCCCCACCTCTTCCCTCTCTTCACCTCATGATCTCTCTCACCTCCTCCCCTCTCTTATCTCCCACCCTCCCCTCACCTCCTCCTCTCTCTCACCTCCTTCCCCTCTCATCCTCCACTCTCACCTCACCTCCCCCCTCTTTTATCTTTTACCCCCTCACCTACTTTCCTCTCTCACCTCCTCCCCTCTCTTATCTTTTACCCTTCCCCTCACTTACTCCTTTCTCTCACCTCCTTCCCTCTCTTATCTCTCGCTCCTGCCCTCACCTACTCCTCTCTCTCACTCCTCCCGTCTCTCATCTCCCACCCTTCCCTCCTACTCTTATCTCTCACCTCCTCCCTCTCTCTCATATCTAAACCCTCCCCTCCCCTCACCTCCTCCCCTCTCTCATCTCCCGCCCTCCCTCTCCTCCTCCCTGTCTCATCTCCACACCCTGCTCTCGCTTCCTCCTTTTCTCATCCCTCGCCCTTCCCCTCCTCACATCCTCCCTCTCTCATCTCTAACCATCCCCTCCCCTCACCTCCTCCCCTCTCTCATCTCTCACCCCTCCCCTCCTTTCCTCCCCTCTCTCATCTTCTATTCTCCCCTCACCTCCTACTCTCTCTCACCCCCTCTTTCAGATCTCCGGCCAACATTCCCTTATGAGAGGATGTGATGAGCGCTAGAGTAACAAATGAAGAGAATGTAGTGAGAGTTTAGTGATTAATTAAACATCTGAACAAATTTACATGGATAACACAGAGTAAGGATCGTAACCTTCTTGGCAGCTACACGTGGATCAAACCGAGTTTCTGGCCGTGATGTGTTTGCTTCATTTAAGATATTATTTTTTTTATAAATTAAATTTTTATGTGCTTGAGTTTAAAATTATAAACAATTATTATATTATGAAGAAAGCAAAATTCTGAATTATAAATGAAATACAGAGGCGACATACAGTGGCAGTGTTAATAATTGTTTATGGGTGAAATGTAATGCACTCGTATGGTCAGTACTGTTGTTGGAGTGAGAAGTGTGGACACTTCAAGCAGCTACCAGAAGAAAGTTAGAGGCCCTTAAAATGGGGAACTACAAGAGAGCGTTAAAGATAAGTTATACTGATAGAAAAATAAATAAAAAAATACGAAGATATGTCAATAGCAACAAAAGAAATACTGTAAATTTGTAGAATATGATCAGTCAAATAATTAGAAATGAAAGGATATGATAGATATATTAATGGGCAAAATTGTTGGTGGAGAGGTCAGGGGAAGGCAGAGACTGGATGGATGGATGAAAGAAAAAACTGCATCACCCGGAGATGCAAAAATCTTAGAAAATTAATAGTGGAACTCCGGAAACGTCTGGAGTGGAGGGCCAAGGTTGTCAACACTCAGACTTGAGGATGACACCTTGATTCATTGATCAATGTTTGAAGACGAGTAGAGAAAATAACCCAGGGATATGATGGACGAAGCGTAAATACCCTTTATGTCTCACCACCACGTAATTCTGAAGGTAGAAATTCAGTGTAAGCTTGAGGGAATCACTGTCATCCTGAGTCCCGCAACACTGTCAAGAGATGCCAACTGTCAGCTAACCTAACTTAACCTAACCTAACCAAGCCTAACCTAACCTAACCTAACCTAACCTAACCTAAGCCAACCTTCATATACACCAAGAACATATGAGTATTGTGGAAGTTACAATAAAATTTCTAAGTTGTTTATGATTGGACTTACTGTGTACCTACTAACAGGTTGCACATTTGATTTAAAATATTTAAGTAACTTATCCCAACGTAACGTAACCTATCCTAACTTAATCTAACAGGGCCCCATCAAACCCACTTTAATATAACTTAACCTATCAATACATAACCAATATGTAATAATACTACAAATATTAGTTTTAGTCAGGAACAAAATTTCTTTCGGAGAAATGTTATTGCATCGAGTTAACACAGAGATAACAGTATAACAGTATAATCTTAATGGTGTAAATCGAGAACAAAAGTGTGTGTGTGTGTGTGTGTGTGTGTGTGTGTGTGTGTGTTCTCGCACAGGGTGGTGAAATGCGTCTAGTGTGGCAGCATAATGTTAGTGTTAAGGTGCAAGCACTGCTTGCTCCATCTCGCTTTCAGCTACCGCCGCTGGCTACCCCTCGCGGCGAACAGGGAAGCAACTAGCATAAGTCTTCCCTGCCAATACACAGCCTCTTCACCATCAAGACTCCTGCTGTGCCTCCTCATAGCCACACACGGCTAACTGGGTGCCTCGTGGGCCCAGGCTAGACCAGCAGGAGATCTCGGAGTAGCAGTGGGTTCCAGGGGACGGCGCATAGGCACACTGGCATATGGACACGTCTTGGCGCCTACCAGCCATTACCACGCTGCCTTGCGGATTATCCTTGATAGGTATAAAGTTACGGGAGTAAATCCCGAACAAAAAATCTGCGGTGGAGCCCCGCATCAGTCAGACAAGCTTAGAGAGCTCCATCAGGACCCCAACGGCGGTAGAGGCGGGAGAGGTGACCACCA